TTGATTTTTTAATTTTGGGCTGGAAAAATGGGGGTCATCTTGTACTGTACATGGGGGCATCTTATTGTCAGAAAAATATGGTAATTACATTTCACCGCTCTTATCGCCATGAGATAGGCTCTGATAGTGGCTCTAGCTCATGTTCAGTCATCTTTGCTCCTCGTCTTTCACCAGCGGCACTCTAGGCATCTCTTAGCCCTTTTAAATTCCCTCAGCTCTTCTGTATACCACGGAGTGTGTTGAGAACCATAAGCATTGAGAGGCTGCTCAGGCATCATCCAATCCAAAGTTGCAGCTGCTCTACCTTTCCAAGTGGCCATCAAGGCCTTAATCAGACCAAGGAGCAGACTTTCAGGAACAACCCCAAGGTCCCTCTGGAACCCAGTCAGGTCTATTAGTTGCCTGGGGCAGGCCAATCTAACAGGCCCAACCTCCCTGTGGAGGGTGGTAGTGCCAGACGGTTGGAGGCTCATCAGGGAATGATCTGTCCATGGCAGGAAAGAAACTAATATCTCCCCCAAATCCAGAACACTTTGCCACTGCCCCAACAGAAAAACCAGGGCAGGTATATTACCACTATTATGTGTTGGGCTCTGGATGACTGGTGGCCATGAACTCCTGAGCTATCTCTGACCCTACACCCAGGCAAGGCAAATTAAAGTCCCCAAGACCATGAGGCTGGGGAACTCCACCACCAACTCAGCCATGGAGTCAAGGAGCTCAGGCAGGGAGGTTGCTACACAGCAGAGAGGCTGGTACAATAGCAACAGTCCCAGCTGATCCCTCTTAGTGCCCAACTTAATAAAGAGTGTCTCACACCCAGCAATTGGAGGAGCAGAGCCCCTGGATGCCTCCCAGTTATCTTGGATGACCACTGCCACCCCTTCTCCCCTCCCCTGGGGTCTTGGCTGGTGCCATATCCAAAAACTGGCTGGGCATATCTCAGAGGGGAGCCCCCCTCCTGCTCCTGTCCCCACCTGGTCTCATTAATGCACGCCAGATTGGCATTTTCATCAACAGTTAAATTGTGAATAAGAATGGTCTTATTACAGACTGACCTGGCATTCACCAGCAGCAGCTGACAACCCAGGGCCTTGAAAATCTACATCTGGGCCCTGGGAGTGAGTTTGGGGGGCTGGAATGCACCATAGGAACAATATACCTGTGGCTCGATCCCTGCTGGCAGCCCGCCTCCCATCATATTTCCCCCTACCTGTCACTACTGGGAATTTATAATCTGCCCTCATCTCTTCAGAGCCCTCCCCACTCCCCTGTCCATAAATGTCCATGTCCCAGGCTGTAGCCCCCACTCCACATACACAGTCCCCAACCAACCAACCAACCAACCAACCAACCAACCAACCAACCAACCAACCAACCAACCAAAGGGCTCCCTAATAATAGAGGCACTTTTGCATAGCAGTCATTGCCTCTACACATTCAAGGGCCTACTTCAACCGTCCCATATATCAATCTCACAATACCTTCAGTCAATCTTCTCTCACTAGACTGCTGAGGCACCTAATCATACAAACCCATTGATCCAAAAGCCTCTCCCTTACCTGGCTCTCACCCGTGGGGGGTAGGTAGAATCAATCACAATCAAAAGCCCTTCTACTGGATGTTAAGTCCAATTCTCAGTCCAGTCCACTCAGCAGATCTTGGATCTCACTGACTACTATTAAATTAACCTGCATGGAAATGATTGTCACAATGCCTTCCAACTCCAACTAGAGCGGAGACCAAATGTAGTGTAGGAGGAAAGAACTGCAGCCACAGGGCCCCGGCAGCCACAACCAGCCTAATTTGGCCCTGCATCCGCTATAGCAAAATCCTCATGTCACATGACCAAGATGAATAAGTAGCCCTCATCCGTGCCCCCAGCAGTCCTGTCTATCTCATTCCACTGCCCAGTCTTCGTTGCAAACTGATAGAGGCTTTTTCGTTGTTGGCACTGGCCTCCTTCCCCCTGCTATGTCACCAATCTCCACCAAATGCCCGAAATACCTCCTCCGCAAGGCAGTCGACCCATAGACCCAGCAGCCCAATAATCCAACCACCAGTGCCGTCGGCTCCAATCTAGCCACCACCGGCTCCAGTTCCCCGAGACTGGTGCTCCATGTCCAAACAAGTGAATGGGCCTCCAACGCCACACACACCACTGTCTCTAGCTGCTGGACAAAAGATATAAGTTGCATGGGCAAGATAATAAACCAGTTTTGTTCAGCCTGGTCAGGAGACGATCTCAAAAGGTTCAGCCACAACTCAGTCAAAAACAACAAACCTCCAACCATCTGTATCATGCTGAAAACCTACCAACAGCACCTTCTCAGACTATATGTACAACGTGGCGCCAAGATTGGAGAAAAAAAACTAATTTTCTAATTCGCGCCAAAGTGAAGAGGCTTCTGTGTGAAACATATGAGTATCTGAGAATGGAGCAGAGGAAAGTGACAACTGAACTGGAGTACAAATTTGATGAAATTTGATGCAATAGAATATGTATTAAGTAATCTGGGTAATTGATAATTTACTGATAAATGTAACATTAGCATGTGGATAGTCCTACATTTTTGGTACTGGGAGAAATACTAATTCAGAGACAATCTTAAATTATTGTTTATATTTGAAATGAATAAAATTGCTCACTCCTCTTGCTATTGCTTTGCAATTGTGGAATAACGAAGAGTGTAACTTCATATTGTTTAATATGGATTAAATTAAAAGGGCAATAGGAAATTAGCACAAAGAACTGATATTTATAATTCTGGCTTTTCTTTGTAGATAGCAATTAACCACTTAAAATGGTTTCTGTTTCTCTTTTATGGGCTTTTTCTTTATGTACAGAAATTCAGATTCAGCCAAAATCCAAATTTTGAGGTGAAGCAGAATAATTGCAGAAGAGATTTTTCATTAGCCAAAATCACATATGTTTTATTTCAGATGTCGCCATCCAGAAAGCTCTGATCTGTTCCTTTTCAGCTTTGGTATGCTGTAAATTGTATTTCTGTGATTGCTGCACCAAAAATAAACCTTTGGCATTTTATATAAAATGTCACAGTCAGGAGGGAGAATATTGGATTTAGTGATTAAAATGTCTGCTTCAAATCATTGTGAACTTTGAGATATAGTGATACAATTAGATTACATTACTAACTTTACTCTCAAAGTATTGGATTTCTGGTGAGATTTTGTGTCAGGGTATCCTTAGTTATGTAAATTGCTCCATGCCATTATCTTGTTGACCAGTCTCTAGTCTTGAGCATTCTCTGAGCTGTACGAGCTAACTGATTTATTTTATGGAAAGGTTTAGTACATTCATCCCTACCCCAACCATGATAATTGGCTCTACTGCATTCAGGAGGAGGAATTATCATCTCTGTCTGAAATGTGGAATAGGTAATTGCTGGAAAAGGAGCTCTTGCAGTTCCAAACAACTTAAATAGTTTATAAAGGTGAGTAGCTCAAAAATCCCTGCACCAGTTTCATAACATGTCACCATAAATTCTAAGTTGCTGAAAATTTCATTGCATTCTTCTGAAAACCATGAGCAAACAGAGCCCCACTTTTCCAAAGCTCTGTAGGATCAAGTATGATCTGATTATCCATGAAATAACCTGGACTAGGTTGGCTTATTTTTGGAACTTTGTTTCAGATGATTAAAGAAGATGAGGTAGTCTCTGTGTGCTCTTATTTTTAAATTATCAGATATAATATTAAAATATCAGAGATACATTATGATCACACAAGAACAGAAAGACACCTTTTTTGTTGTTGTCGTAAATGGATTTTGCTTATCAAAGACCTTTCAGAAAAGTAAATACTTTAATCCTGAAAGGTATGCTATCTGCAATTATTTTTTAGAAAAGTGAGATTGCTTTTGTTATGGCAAGTCTTCATTACCACCAGCTCATTGAAAGAAGCACTCTTGGTTCTGCTACAGTGTAAGTACTGGTTTTACTGGTTTTAAGAGAGATGCTCATATTGCTCCTCCTCAGACCTGAACAGGAAGATATGTTCTAGGATACAGTATTTGTTTTGGTAGTATCACTTTTCTAAATGTTCATAGAGTATAATCCTAACTCTCCCCTTGGTATTGATGGCTGGAGAAATTAGAATAGCAGATTAGTATCTCTGCAATTACCCAGGGAGAGGTCCACAGCATATCCAAATATAAAAGCAAAGGCCTTAAAGATGTTCTGTGGGAACATGAAAAAACTGTTTTAAGATTGAACCCTACTTTGTTTTCTCAGATTGAGTTAATCCAGACCCCAAAGCTATGTACTCTTTGAACAAATGTAGTTAATTTGTCTTCAGTTCTTTTCTGGGCATACATCTGTGTGTGTGACACACAATAGATAGCACTGTTCAGCTAGTGCTAATGCAACTGCTAAGTCATGCTAAGTTGTGGGAAGTGAAATGGGATTTGAGTTCTTATATCACAGGACAACAATTTAATAAACTTTATGCTGCCTGACTCTTAATGACTTTCACATTTTCTAGAAGTATCTTTTCCTTTGAATGGGAACTACTTCTTGCTCTTGGAAATACTTTCTTACAATTTAGAATGTATAGAAAGAGTGATCAAATAACTCTAACATATATAACCAAAAAATTTCAGACAACTGCATGTTGTGTACCTAATGTGCTTTGAAGGCTAGCTTATCATGGGATAAAATTATATAAACAGTTTATATAAGCTGTTTGTGCAACCCTAACATAGGATATATGTTTATAGGATATATAAACAGAATGAGACATTGCCAGTTTCAGTTAAACATGCTTGAAATCACCTAAAGAGATTCATTTTATATATTTAAATTAATAGTTTAATTTCTAAAGACTGCTCAGATGATAACCCAGTATAAACTGAAATACTTGAGAGCTAAAAGTAGCTCTGAGAAATTGGACTGAAAGCCTATCTCTTCTCCGTGTGCATAGTTCATGATTTAGCATTTTATGTATTCATTATAATTTTATACACTATGCATGCAGTCCCCTCCATCTATTCTTTTTCTTTCAGGAGACATTATGCAGCCCCCATTAAGGCTATCCCAGATGATATTGACCCAGAATATGGCATGCATGGCTATCAGCTGCACATTGACCTACAGAATAGAGGAAATACTTATATATGTAGTACATTTCGCAGTTTGTTTTGTAAAAAAGGTACTACTTGGACTGCAGATCTACTAATGTTTCTTTTTGCATGGCTTTTAAACCGTAATTTTCAGGGGAATAAGCATGAATCCTCAATAAATCTCAGTACTGCAAAAGTGCAGTATTTTTTTTAAATGATTTTCTTTGGTAGATTTTCCACTTCCGTATAGAGCAAAGTTAAAACATCTACAGTGGAACAATAAAGGAAAGTGTGCGTGTGTTTATTTAATCCTGGTCTTCTGTCTAAAGATTTACTGGGGTGGCTTACAAAAAAAAATGTTCCTGAGTTGAAGCTTACAATCTGGAAAGGCATGGCATGTAAGAAAATGAAGAAAAATATAATGTAAATGTAAATATTGTAACACAACTTAGCACTAATCCTGAAGAATTTTATGGTTCCTATTAGGGCCTGCTTTGATGGTACAGGCCCAAATCTTTAAGAATATTTATGAAAACATATATTTTGAATAAAGATTATTATTCAGTTTGACTTCTAAAAGCCTTTAATGTAATTCCCCATCAAAAACACCTAAAGCTTTGAGTAGCTACAGTAGAGGAGCACAAAAATGAATGTGTATTCATACTGATACCGTGGGGCAAAAAAGTATTTAGTCAGCCACCAATTGTGCAAGTTCTCCCACTTAAAA